ACACACACACACAATGCACAAAAAGGCAGAAACCAAAGCAATATGACATTCATGTATCTAGATTCTAATATACCAACATTACGCAACATGATGGAATGAGTTGAGGAAGATAAATGGAAAACTCACAGAAAGCGATAAGGAATTTTCCGTAGCCTTTTCTCTGATAAGGAGGAAGAGTAAGAATGCAAGCTAAATTGTAGGACTCTTCTGAGTGTTTCTCCTACACATCAATCCACAAAAAGTTAGTGGGTAATGGAAAAGAAAATCATTAGTCTTCGATGACTTATCAAGTACTTAAATAGCTCATCACCTAAATAGCTTGCACTAAAAACTACTCATGTGCAAATATGGTTTGAGATAATGCTAAAATATAGAAGTGATGCTACAATCTAAAGCTAGAATGGGGAGATATCACCAAATACAATGTCATCACAAATAAAAGGCTAAATATGAAAGTAATACTACAACCAAAAGCATGATAAGGCAATACCACTGCATGGAATTTGCCCTCAAAACTAATTCTTTTTTGCAACTTAGGGACCATACATAATTAAATACCAATAGACAACAAAAGGTACAACCAAACCTAAATGATAAAAACTACCTTGGAGAAGTAGCCGACCATGTGGCATCCTCGATCATCACACTCACAGAGCACATAGAACAGAAATAGATCAACATCATAGTAAAGGGTCTTGTGATCAAGAAACAATTTGGCCAGATAACAAAGATTTTGCCCATAAACCTTGTTCTTTTTCCCATCCACCTGTTTCCATAAATTCCAAACTTTAGATGACATTTTATCCGAGATCAGACGATCTCTCTTCAGAACATTGGACATCCAATAGTAAACCAGACAAACTCTAACGATATTTCAATGGAATACGAAAGTACAGCCAAGTATTTACTGAATCAAATTAGTGCAAAATTTTACCTCAAACATTGACAAAGTTCCGTTTCGGTATATCTCATCACCAGGAGGATGCTTGAGATCACATTTCCTCTACAGATAACAAGAATTGCAACCAATTGAATTTACAAGATAGACAACAACGCACATTAAACTATTAAGTAGAGAAACAAATTTGCAATAAGTTATTAAACAAGACTGACACTACTGTATACTGTACGTTACTGTTTCAATGAAGTAACCAAAAAAAAGTAAATATAGAAGCCATTAAAAGGACAAATGGCAGTGTGAAGGAAGGGATGATAGGAACAAAGAGAGTAATTCACCATGTGCCGCTGGAGTTGTTCTTTGCGCTTCATGAAGTTCAGACAGAATTCACAGAAGAACAGCTTGGTACAGTCATTGTATTCTGGAGGAAAGGGCGAAAAATACCAAGTTTCAATCTCATATCTACCAAGTTCTACCGTGGCAATATTTTTCACTTTTGTAAATTCTTCGTGTTCTCGCAAGCTAGCAGCATCAAGCTCTTCATGGCCCTGTATAATTTCAAACACCACCTCTTAGTCATCCAAATAAAAATTTTGGTGGATCTCTTAAAGAAAAAAATACCTAAAATCCATATCAACAATTTTACCTATGAGATCACATGATTCTAGTTCTATTAACGTAACCAGGGTTTGCAACAACAATGACACACTTAATATGGCAGTGACTAGTAATCAAATTTTTGTTGATTAACATACAAAATCAACAAGGATTACCTCTACATGTGTCTCGTCAATCTTACGTTTTTGATGCCTCGTCATTTTCAAGCTAGTTACCTGAAATTGCAAATGTCATCATATGTCATATGGAGGACAGGACATAAGGGTTCATATATGCAAGTATTCAAATAGAAATCTCTTTATCACTTAACACTAACAGATAAATAACAAAACAGATATGCAGAAATGCAGAATTCTATATATGATAAAGTCAGGAAGTATCAATATGTTACCTTGTCCTCAACCTTCTCATCCACATCTGTTTCCACAGAATTGAGATCAAGCTGTTCCAATTTTACCCATTCATCAAGTCTACGGTTAACTGCTCAACGAGATACCCACAAACTCAGGTATACAACAATAATATCAATTTTCAAGGTGGGTAAAATGAAGACGAAGAAATAAATCTTTTTATGGTTGCATACAAATACTCGTCAAGCCCAACTGCAAAAGGCACAAATTATTTTACCATCATTAACGGAAGGAACAGATCCCATCAATTCTCTGTTGCTTTTTAATTCATATATATAAGTCTCATCAAATTAACCCTAATTATGAACCCTAAGTTTAGAGAAAAACACGAATTCAGCACAATACTCACATTCCGTGTAGTGAACGTAGTACTCGTAATCGCTGGATCCATCGGAAGAAAGCTTCCGGCGCTCGATAACCTTGACAGGGTGGTATTTCCCATCCCGCCACCGGCAATTAACACGCGTGCCGACCTCCAAGGGCAGAACCGTCATCTTCCTCTTCCGAGAAAGGTCGTTCTCCGGCAGCGCGCCGTTGCTCTGGGACACCGGCGGTAGAGCATTGCCGTCCACGGCCGCAGCTGAATGGCCGTTCGCAGCCGCTGTGGCCGTTGAGCCGTTGTCAATAGAAACCATTTTTTGTTCGGCAAAAAGAAAATGAAAACGAAAAGGGAACGAAGTTTGAACAAAAGGGTTAAAAGGCTAATTATGTATTTTATTCGTTGGTGAATTCTCTTAATTTGCGGAAAGGACCCTTTTAAATTTTGTCTATCACTTCATACCCTGACTTTTGAAAGTTGACTTTTTCTTCAGTGTAAAAAATGAGTAAATGACCAACAAGGGTTGGCTCAAGTGGTAAGCAGTTTGATGTCGCTTAAGTAAGGTCTCGAGTTCGAGTTCTTGTGGATGCAGAAAAACCTTGTTAGGAGACTCACCCACCACTGTCAGGTGTGCGACCCGGGTCCACCAACGGATTAGTCGGGGCATAGCTCCGGATACCGTGACTGGCTACAAAAAAAAAAAGAGTAAATGAGACTACTTGAGCTTAGGATTGCAAAAATTCTATAGAGGCATCGGATATTTTTTATAGTCATCATTATTTGATGTGTTAATACATGTTCAAATTGTATTTATTATAGAATACGTGTCAATATACTATTGACGAATAAGTGTTGATGGTTCTATAAGTCGAGTTATCTGATGACTCCATAGCGAAATTGGCTCAGATTGTTTATTAATATTAACGAGCCAAACTTGAATTTTAACAATTTTAACAACGCCTTAGCGTTGAGTCTAACTGACTCATTAATTAAACAAGTTTCACCTCATTTATTACGAGCCGAGCATAGCTAAGTTCTCGAGCAACTAGTTTCGTTTAACAGATCTAACTATGAGTTCAGAGTAAAAGAGTCGAGCCGAGCTAACGAACTCAAGCTCCGGCCTTAGTCTTTATTGAATCGAACATGTTTACTAATCAAGTCGGTAAACAAGCTCGAGTTTGCCTTTTTTTAATCAAATTTAATAAAATGAATTCAAGCCTTAATTAGTTGATATTACACATTAGAGCATTACATAAAAATATCATATATCTCTAGCCTTATTAACTTTAGCAAGTAGTGTCAATATCACCTTGTTAATTAAATGGGCTCGAGTTTGGCTTGCTAATCAAAAGAGTCGAGTTGTACTCGAACTTTAACGAATCAAGCCAACGAACTATGTGCAATTTTATATTTTCGATTTTCAATGTGTATTTGAAGAAAATTTTCAAATTATGGGAGTTGTTGTGTCATTTCACAAACTCGTGGGCCTCTATAAAGTAATAAATCAAAACTGGTGATCACACACACATATCTATATATATATAATTACTAACTGATGCATTTAATAAAACATTTAATAATTTCTTCTTAAATTTTGGTTCTGTGCTCAAGCTTGGTCTTTTCCCCATATTCTTGTGTGTTATTTTAATAATTGAGAACATGTGCAGAAACATTCTTTACCTCAGAAAAATTAATGTAATGTTACATTAACTAAAAGTTGTTGATAATCAGATTCGGTTAGTAGAATAGAAACCAGATTTAGTTAAGAAGTGTGGTTGAGTAATTAAGTCATGTTTCATTCGACTGGATGAATGACTTTTAAGTCACTATTATACACGTGTCATTCAAATAAATCCGATAAAAGTGATTTGAACAATATTTTAAACTACTCAAAGTAAACACATAACCTGAGGTTGACTTACTCTCTCGTCCCTGTCTGACTGAAAATCGGAGTCGCTGTTCATAAAAAGCCCCGGAGAGAGGTTGTGGTGTGGGAACTGCCTCTGGAGGTTCTGAAACGTTCCCAGACCTCGTGAAGAGGCTCGTTCGGCAATTGAACATGTAAAAGTCGAGTTCATTGGTTGGGTTAAGTTGCTTTAGTCGGGATTTAAATTGTTGAAATTTCGTTATGAATAACATGTAAATTCGTTGGTTTCTGTCCGTCATGTTCTTGGCTCGGGCTTCAAGATTCTCTTCTCCTCAAAATTGTCTGTGCCAATTTTGTTACTACATCATTTAAACTGAGTTCCCATTAGAAAACAATCGAAGGTGTTGTTACCGCTACAGTTGCATCAACTAATGAATTTATAATTACAGTTCTTATCGGGTTCATCAATAGTGAGCTAAATTCGATGTGGGAAAAGAACAAAATTGTTGTAATGAGTTGGAATTCCATGATGGTGATGGTGTTAAGAGATAAGAAAATTAGAGAAGTGGTTGTATGTACTAATTGTTCTTGCACCATTACAGTAATGCTGCTGGTAGATTGCTTCTTATATTTTTAGTAATTTTTTTTTTTTTTTAAATTATGATTATCCTACGTTATCAATCAATATTTAATTGTTTCAAATATATATATAAATTTATACATAATATTTTCACAAGTGAGCTTATTTCACCAAATTTAAGATAATATCGGAGTGTACAAAAGTTTATACTAGAAATTTGGCAAAATATCGAAAAACATCGGTCAATAAATTTGGAAAATAGTATATATAAAAGAAGTTAATTATCGACTTAATATATTTTAGCTTGAATTTGTAATCTTATTTTCACCTTAGTGAAAATTTGAGACTTAAAATAGTTATCATTTTTTTTTTTTTTTTGCA